TAGCCTAGGCATAGGCCTAGGATAGGCCTATGCCTAGGGTAGGCATGGGCCTAGGATAGGCCTATGCCTGGGGTAGGCATGGGCCTAGGATAGGCCTATGCCTGGGGTAGGTATGGCCCTAGGATAGGCCCCGGGAGTTCTAAGCCCGTTTTACTGGAGATAGAGATAGACTCAGGTCTTTTGATGAGTCGCTTGATGCACTGAACTCCTGCTGCCGATACTTTGAAGGACAATGGTATGTTCAGCGCATCCAAAGTGACAGAATTCGGTTCCATCATCATCAGGAAGAGGAGGCCAAATGGCCAGCACCTGTGAGGTCGTGATGCCTTTGGATCAAAGGCTTTATGATGTTCATCGATGACTTTATGCGCTTTACCCTTTGCATCAACAAAGTAGGGCGATAGTAGGACGTCTTGTTTCCTTGGAACTCGTCCATTTTTGTCCACCCGAAGGTGTGCACAGGTCACCAGAAGGGGCTTTGTCCATTAAACGTACAGCAGTACTGATGAAGCGCCAGAGCGGCCAATCCAATGAAGCGCCAGAGCACATCATATGCTGAGGTTCCGATGGAAGATTTCCGCTCAGAACTCTTTTTGGCGGTGCTGAAACCAGGTGGCCGCAGCATCTCAAATATATATATATAATTATATATATATATGTCACAACAGTTTGTCAATCTATGTGTCACTTTGTTTGTTTGCTTCCATGCTTGTTTGGAGTAGTGTGTTCCTTACATGTTCCTATTTTAGTCGGGCAGTGGCCAATGAACGCCTGGCGCCAATGAACAGTTAAATTTGGGAATCCTTGTCAGGGATTCCTGCACATTAGCATCAAAGATTGCACTCTTTCTGCACCTACATTTTGAGTAGCAAGAAGCTACTACAGTAGTAACAAGGACATTGTTACTGGTAACAAAGGGCATCGCTACTAGGAGCAAGGACACTAAGAGTTGCTCCTGACATTACTACTAGGAACAAGAAGCTACTATTAACAAGGGGCATCGCTACTGTACTATATAGTAATAATTGCATTACTACGTTACTAGTAGCAAATAGCTACTAGTAACAAAGGGCAACATGAGCTCATGCCTCACGTGTCGCCCTGCTTGGTGCTGCACCAGGTGCTGTGACAGAGATGGTCGGGGCCCTGGAGTGGGTCATGTCATGACGGTCAACCCCAGCTAGCCTGGCTGGACACAGATTGGTTCCTCCCTGGAAGAACCATGGTTACGTGGAGGCAAGACAGGCTGTTTGGTATTCGGATTTCAATCAATTGGGGCCATGCCATCCATGGTCATACGATTCTTGATACGTGCTTGCTCGTCGGGGAGTCTAGGACATATCCGATACGTTCTTGAGATACTCTTGGGTGTCTGACTGTGTGACGCATCATGACTTGTTCCGAATAGGATGTGGAGTTCTTGAAACTTCTGATCGCACACTTCTCAGATGTGGAGGTCACCCCTTCAATTCTGGAGCCAAAAGTGGATTCAGAAAGAACATCAAGAATTCTGATTTCGGGCGGCGTGGTGTACAGCTCTTTGGATTTCCCAGTCCCCGACCTTTGGATGCCTTGGGACCGTCCAAGGATGCTGTGTTGGACACATGGGAAGGAGAGGCGAAGACCAGGCGAGGAGAGCAGTTGAATGATTCCAGTTGAGCTGAGCTGAACTTGCACCTTTACAGGACAGCCCTTGGTGTACCAGGATACCTTGCCTGCGGCCTCAAGTGAAAACAACTAGAGATTGCAAACGATGGCAAACGACCGCAAATGTACAGACTCCCAATTTGCAGCACAGAACAGCCCTCAAAAAAGCATTTTCGCACCGTTTTGTCTTTTCGTTCGGACAACGATGCACGAGGCTAGGAAGTTCCCATGGTTGGAGGCCAGTGAGGCCTGGGTTTTGCTCGGCGATGAGTCAGCGCTTTGGCTGCAGGCCCCATAAAAATCCATAAAATATGTGATACTATGGGTGTAGGCCCCTAAAAAACATAGAAATGAACACAAGAGTCATAATTTATAGGGGGTTCCCCATCCTGTAGATTGACAAGTTTCACGTGAAACAAACCTCAACAACCACTTCGAGAGGTGCGGCTTGCCCGGTTGGATTGGCGGCAAGCTTAGTCTAGTTTTGGGCGTTCGGTGAAGCTGGGTGAGTTGAGGTTGGTGTTGTTGAGAATTGAATGAAGGAAAAAGTTGACAAACATGATTGAATTGAATCAGTGAAGTGTTGTTTGTTCGAGCGTTGCTGGTGTAGTGAGTTGCACTCCAGTAGTTGTATGAAAGAAGCTTGACCTGACCACTGCAAGTTCTGACGTGATATTGCAGCCGATATCCCTGCAACACACCACCATTCAAAGTGGCCGGGCATTTCAGAAGTGGTCGTGTTCTGGATCTCGAAAGCGTCCACCAACGTTTGGTCATCAGCTATGGCAGTTGGCAGATAAAAAAGGTGAATGCTCGAGACATGTCGACAGGCTGATGTCCGCCAGAAAGGAATACCACCGATGTTTGTCATGAGAAAGTCGGCCGACCGATGTTTGTCACCCAGGTTGGACTGGGAGCGCTTGCCTCCACAAGCTCGGCTGTCCGCCTTGACCAAGCCGCAGCCGCGGATCCTCCAAGAAAAGGGGCGTTGAAGAAGAGGGGTCGGGTCGAAGCTGGGGGTCCAGGCGGAAAGATGTGTGTGTGAGAAACCTTTTGGAATCACAAGGTGCCTGTCAGCTTTTGCATGCTTTTTGTGTGTTTACTTTCAATGGTCTATTTTAACAGCAGGGGGCACAGGCCCCTCCGAAGCTATTCCACGATGGGGGAAGCGGATATTGATCACATCCGTGATCCGTGTATATACCTGCTGATGGTTTATGGTGTTAGTAGACTCTCTAATTGCCAGGCCTGCAGACATGCCACTTGATGTTTTGCATCTTGGACCATGGAGACTTTGGATTTGAAACTTTGGCCTTTGCATGACTGACGGCTTGACGCCGCTCCGCTTTATCCCTCTATCCCTGTCTATTCAGGCCTTTTGATATTCTTAGGCAGCTTCAGGGCAAGTGGCATTCAGACCGTACAAACTTTCATCTCGAGCGTGTGTATGTGAGAGAGAGAGAGAGTGTGCTTGTGTGTGTGTGAGTGTGTCACACTCTGTTTCCAAGAGTTTTGACACGCAGGGGGCCGGAGCCAGGTGGGGGGTCTCCGGCCAACGAAGACACCCCCCACCTGGGTGCAAACGTACCTGCGATCAACTGTTGTCAAAGCTGTTCTACTCTCTTTTTTGCTTTCATGGTGGTTTTCATGATAC